CTACACCAAAGCCGTCTTAGATTTCCGCAGAAATATCTTTCCAAAAATATATAATCATTATTTTAAAATGATATACAAATATGTATATTATTCATAAAAAATAAACTATAACGTTAAAAGCATAAGAAAATGATGCTGGAAATATTTTTTGAGTAGAACAATATTGAAACTGAGAGGCACTAGAATAGACTTGAGGAGAGACCAAGTGGCATGAACAACCCCCGCGTCAGTGGCAGATATAATTATTAATGTTAAGTGGCGGAAAAGGGTTGCTGAAATTCTGATATCTTGTGCGATGGTATTGTTATAACCGATTACCAATTTCTAATAAATTGTAGAGTTAAAATCCTAACGTATAACAATCCTAAAACAGGTTTTGTTTTGACAAAATAAAATCACCTATATAAATCTTTAGTTTTTTTTTTATATATTTGTATGTAATTTTCCAAGTAATATAACTGATGATCTATCAGTGCATTATAATAGATATATTTGAAATAATGGAATCTTAGTCAACATTAATCTTGTCACCAATAAAGTTTTTTTTTTTACGAAGTAAAATCTACATCCACTTACGACTTTCAAATTTGTATTAAATTGCTTAATGGACTATTACTGTTCTCATATTTAGTAACTCTATCTATTATGTCAGGATAAGAAGTGGAAATAAATATGTTCTCGACTATCTCTAAAGGGATAATCAGAGAAATTTGTCGATTATTACAGACATGATGAACGTAACAGTCAACATTTCTACACTCCACCGAAGATATTAAAATGCCCTGCAACGTGACATGGTACAAGCCTACCGCCGACATTCCGATTATTCCGATTAATACGGTTACTTATCGATGTCTTTTATTGCTAGAAACTTTACTATATTTTAATATTACATTATATATATATATATTAATTTTAATTGTACTGCTAACAAAATTCTCTTCTTACTCCATAGTATAATAGAGAACGCCTTTAAGCGTAATGCCCGCCACGTGTACCTTTGTTATATAAGTTTTTAGATTCGAACTCACGACCTTTGGAATCTATAAGTAGAAATATATAGAGATATATAGGAATAAGATGGAATTCCCAAAATTTTCAATATAGCTAACCTAATACGTCTTTTCTAAGGATTTTTATAAAATAAAGTACATTGAATTCTTTACATTTCTAAAACTCCAACTCTTCTAAAAGTAGATTTGCAGTAGGTACCTGCACAGCGTACATTTTGCAAGGGCACTCTAGAACGCTAGTAAAAGAGTTTCAGTGAGGAATCTTCCAGAAATCTATTCACTTTCGGTGATACGAGTAGATAAGTACAAATACTGAGTGTCTTCAGATAGTCTGAGGGTAACTTTGAATAACATTTTTAATTAACGTGCAATATTTTCTTTTATTCAGAATGTAAGGTAAGAATCCGACAATATTATCACAAGATGTTGAATTTCTTGAAAATATAGAAATACTAGCAATCCGCCCCGGCTTCGCACGGGTTTAATATTTGTTTGTGTAACTTTTAAACTGTTCAACATATTTTAGTAAGGCTGGTATTATGGCGTGTGTGAAAGTACTGCACTAATATTCTTTAAAATTTTAAATAACGGCGTATTTAGTTTAGGCGTTTTTCCTACGCCCCTCGCCTCCGCACTCTGCCTACTATTTTCGCACGGCCAACGGATTCGATAACGCAGTAATTTTACCGACTTTTTTATTTTTATTTCGCATTATCTTCTGACTATCGGCATCAATTAACATGCTGTAAAAAGTAAACTTTATCTCTATGAAATTTTTATTTTGTTTCAAGTATTTATTTTTATAATATTTTGTAAAATATACGTGAAATCTGAATGCAAACTTAATATTTTAAAATTTATTTTACTTTTAACATAAAAACCACATTTTTGACTGAGATATTAATTAGTCAAACTTATAGATATGTGGTGTAGCGAATTTTTATATAAAATTATATATTTCATTCCTTTATTTCAAACCGTATAGGCAGCGCGTGTCATAATAAAGAATTTTTGCCGATTCCAATTACATTTATTGCGATTAATTATTGAAAATGTATATTTACCAAAATAAAAATAGTCTACGTTCCGTTATGCGAATAGGTCAAAACCCGTTGTAATAATTTAAATACAAAATAACATAAATAAGTTATTAAGCTTCAAATCCGGCCCTGTTGACACATGAACATGACACGCCACCGAGACCTGCTGACCTGTTTCCCTTCAGCCACCTGTGACTAGTCAATTTACCTTTAAAAAATCTCGGAAAACCTCGGCCCGAAAGAAAAGCAGTATGTTGACTCAACACATATATAACCAAAACAGCTGCGCGCCCTCGTTTTCCCGACCACGCGAATAAGACATTTTTCTCCTTTTACCCCTTTGCTTTTAAGGGTGAATTTACTGTGAATTTTCATACGTCGTTTGTTACATTTAGAATTGCAAAACATATAGGAATGCTTAGGAATGGTTGAGACCCGACGCGATGTTTACGGTATTCAAATTGCTGTCACATGCCGCACACACGGTTTATGCATGCAGCTACTATTGTAGGGTTTGATAAAAAAAAGTATTTCATTCATATATCGTTGTAGAGTTCATTCAAGTATCTTACATTTATATGAAACGTGCCGTTTTATTCCCTCGTAATACTTATAGATAAAACTATCTCTTTCATTATCACATTTCATAGCTTTATTGTTTTATCCTATGTAGAACAGCAAACAAATTGACGGCCTACCTGGTGGATAGCTGTAACAATCGCCTATAAACATAATAATAAAGATCAGGGAGGTCACTAAATATATTGTTGCACATTTCTAAGATGTTATGCTACCATACTATGTAAATCCACTGACACATTGGACTCTTCAAACAGCAGTGTTTACCTAGTATGACAGAAACATATTATTATACCTAATCCAGTTTACTGCATTTACAAGAAAATACTCATATACGAATGATTTACAACCAGCTATAATTCGGGGCTTTATGCACATTACTTAGAAAAAAAGTTTCCTAGATACGGTCCATCTGCGTACCGAATTTCTTAGGATTTAAATGAAGTTATTATTTATTATATTTATTATGTAAACCATTCTTTTTAAACTTTCCACATATATAATAGGATAAAATTAAGAGAAAATGAGTAATACTATTTTAAAGATGAAAACTAGCAAGAGTATTTATTATTACCGTTTAAAAACATTTTGCTGTTTGAAAACGTAATGTAGACTTTAATAATATTTTTATTTTATAATTTAATAGTTTTTGTCTTAATATTAAGAGATAGAAATAATTACTGTACAGATCTTGTACGGATTGCTACTGGAGAGTCGCTAGTGGCTATTGAACATTGTGGATTAATTAATTATTATTTTAATTGAGAGTACGCAAACTGTCATCTCTGTCTAGTCCTTTCGTTCCGCACCTCTCATTCATTCCTCGCCTAGTTTCATATCACGCATATTTCTATCATTCAATTCCCACATACTTGATTGGAGTTTCTATGAAGCAAATAATAAATATAATGAACAAAATTTATATGTCTGGAAGATGTCTGGAATGTCTGGAAGAAATCATTAATAAAGACAACAATAATAAAAGTTTATGTTTGATATTATTACAATCATAAATTTTAATTAAATTTACATCAAGTAAATTTTGCTCTAAAAAGAAGTAGTGACTCCAGACGTACGTGAAAATAGTAGAACTAAAAAATAGGGTAGGAATTCACATTCATCCATGATTTATTATCAGAATATCGACTTCCAGACTACGTCCTACATAATGCAAGAATGCATTTCCAATCTGATCTGTCGATTTTGCATAAGCAAATAAGAGTGAGATGAATTATTCACACAAGTCTTAGCGTATCGTCGTACGGCATCAAAAATTCGATCAATAACTACATTATGTTTCTGATTTTATTTGAAACACAACATAGTTTTAAGCGATAACAGAACGGACCATATCAGAGTTTTAAGCGATTTTCGAAAGTTCTCGATTCGTCTACATTTTTGTGTAATTCTGGAACGATTTTGATAATTATTTTTGCAATTGATAAAGTTTACTTCTGGGAAGATCAAATATTAATTTTGTGACTATCATAGCTGGCAATTTTAGTTGCATTTCAAAAAACTATTGCGAAGTAGAATCTATACCCAGAAATACACAATTTTGTATGTATTTTAAATTCAGTTATCTCGACTGAAGTAATTTTTTTGTGGATCGAAGAAAAGAATAATCAAGTACTTTTTTTTTTTGGTATATAAGTGATATTTGTTCATAATTATATAAAGATTTAATGTATAATTTGTTTAAGGTGATATTGAATTGAATAAAAGTATTGGATATCCACAAGCAACAAATGTCTGTGACCACTCGAACAATTTTTAGCTTCATTATATTTATTTGTTCAAATAATTATACATAAACCTAAATACGTCTTATATACCTATAATGGCATTTACGTAACTGTTATTTTACTTCCTAGGAAACTATTGAGCCATTTAAATCTATAATGATACAACAGTCGACGTTAAATTCAATATAGGCCGTCAGTCATAGGTTACTAAACTTTCTCAGAGACATCAGTATTGTAAATATTATATTTTATGTTAAAGTTTGAAATAAAACAAAATAAACTCTTTATCAAAGAAAACTCGGTAAAGCGCGACTCGTGACTAACTTTAGTAAGGTTTTAAACAGCAAATTTGTAGCAAATAAATAACTTTCTAAACTGGATATTTTATTTGTAAACTTCTCAAAACCCCGGTATATTACACAAGATTACCTATTGTGCGATAAATGTGAACAGTAATAATTGTCATTAATTCTATTTTTACCAATACTTATAAGCTATCTATTAAAATCCTGTTTTTTATATACAAATCTCCAATATTTAATGTTTTTTTTTTTTTAATATTATACGTAAGCAATTTTACTAGCCTATCATTAAAATAAAATATTTTTCATTATTACCAAATCAAAATAAAATTTACTATCGCTAACAGACTATACGTCTTTCGTAACTACTCTTCACATAATCCAGTAAAGGCACAGAGAGTCGTGATACGATTGTACAACCTACAAGTCGTGCAGACCACTAAGTGCCACAAATCCCCTGTCCGGGGATCCGCACTCTATAACTCAGTTTTCAACGACACCTACCACTGGCAAACACGTTGAGTTCAGAATAAATATACGAAAGTGAAAATATGTTTCGGATATGGCCGTGATAAATCTAATTTTTGCAATATTACTCTTAAATCGAGTCACGTCACAAACAAGCCGAACCGCCTCACATCAAGAGAGCGCCTTAAATACATTACAAGAAAATTCAACAGAAACAATTTTTACCTTGCAAACCCGACAAATCCGTGCTACATCGGAAACGCCGCTCAGGGCCGGCACCGGAAACAATCTACATACCGTTGAAAGTACAGTGCCGAACGACCGACACCCACCGCAACAGCATTACCAAGCAATCTCCGCGATTTACTCAATAAAACCTAAGGATAAAAAACGTGCTGTAGACGAAAGAAACGATAAATCGTTTCTATTGAATAAAAAGTTATTACAAAATGATATTTTTAGAAAAAACCTTTCTAATCCAAATCGATTGGTTTGGGATAATTGTTTAGAACCGAATTTTAGAAATAATCTCCGTAATTTAGTTGAAAGTCCAAGAGACATGGATGATGATAATAATGATTTACCAACTATTCAAAATAATAAAGAAACTGGTAATATATTGAATAAAAGAGATGGAGATACAGCGAATAATTTGACAATAATAAAATCGTGGCTCGACATATACAATAGTTTGAAAAACTCAAAAACGGAAGAAAGAAAGCAACAAAAGCAAGATTTCATTCCAGTGAAAAAAATCACGCAACCTTTTACGAATGCCGATATTACGACAAATGTAGAATCAACAACAACAGTTAGAATTATTCCCATAACGAGAGAAATATTTAGAAAAAATACCGGAGTAATGAACGTAACCCAAAATACAATTATAACAGAAAATAATATAAAGGCAAGTTACACAGAGGACTGGTTTGTAGCAAATGATAAAAGTAAAATAAGATTTAGTGGTCTGCCACATAAAGAAAAATATTTGATACCAACTCTCAAGCTAGAAAATGGATTCTACCCTTTTACATTTATGTCTGAATTTTTCACCTTGATTTATCCCTTTGACTTTCCAGTTGGTAAGTAAAGTACAACAGAAAAATACATGATTACTTATTTATATTTATTTTATTTAAATATTTTGCAAACATATACAAAAAACTTAAGGAATTTTAATCAATAATACTATAATAATATAAAAATAAAGGAATTATAAAAAAATTACGATTAATGTGGTCCTGGTATAGAATGGGCTACTCCTTCCTTTTCCGTGGGTGTCGAAAGAGCCGACTATGGGAATTTAATGCTTTAAGAATGAGCAGCTGCATACCTCTTAAAACATCACCATAACTGCGATTGTTAACGCATGCCAAGCATGGCAACTACTAACAAAATCCTTTAATAGGGGGAGGCCTATGCTCAGCAGTGGGCAGTAAATGGCTGATATGGTGGTGGTGGTAGATTAAAATTAAAATAAAATAAATCTATCAATAATATATCGGTATATGTATATAATATCATATACCTGAAAATTATAACTATAGGTCCTTATTTATATAAACTAAAACAATTGATAACTTTTTTTAACTTAATCTACATAATTAAACACGAATACCGATCTACCCTATATGGAAATAGATATAAAAAATAGTTTATATAAATGTAATATTTTTGGTGTTTTTATTCAGGTCTGATCAAGGATATAGTGTGGGGAAAATTTACATTTCCTTATTCATTTTTACAGGTAAAGATTTTTAATTTCCTTAATATAATTAATATTTTAGACGGAAACTACAGATGCCACTTATCATCTGGCATTTCTTCCTAGCTTCCTATATATCTGTCCTTTGGTATTACTTCGTTTTTATTCGTTTATTCACGTATTAACTTGGATTCATTCGATTAGTAAAGCTGATACAATACGGTATGGCTCGCGATATGTAATAAAAAAAATAAAGGTAATGTTTTAGTGCAATGTCAAATTAAACAAATTAATAATGATTATTATAATAAATAAATATATTTGTAAATCTATTTACGAAATTATAATAAGTATAAGATACCAATGTTTTTACTCATTTAAATATACTACTATACTTATATACTACTATACTTATATATTATTTATACAAATCAAGCAATGAACAGTTCATCTCTAGGCACTTCAGCAAAGAATTTCTTCACACTTTCCACAATTCGTTCGGAGACCCTTTGTACAATTGGATTACCAAATTCCTCACTAATTGTTTTCCAATTCTCATTTATAAAAGTGAGAATAGTTTTACCTGTAATATAATTAAAAATACAAATAATTGTTTTAGGACAGAGTGAGAAAAAATGTGATTAGAAGTATACTAAATTAAATGCTTTTCATTAAATACTTTTTCAGTTTATAAACTGAAAAATAATGTAGTGGCAATTGCATTTGTTCAGCATTAAAAGTATTACGAAAGGGATTTAACGAGCACGATTGAGTGGAGAGATTGATAAGGACCTTCTTAAAGAGATATATTTGAATCGAAACATTTGGCGTTTCATTGTTTCTATCTAATGAGAAAAAGGCATGATTTGATTTATATGCAAGTACGTAAACTTCATTTGAAATTTTCATAATTATATTTCTTAATCATTAATACCCATCCATATTATAAATAATTTCGGCTTACGGTTTTACGTTTTATTCTTAAACATTAATATCTTATTAAAAATATATTTAATTTTACATTTTTCTATTTATAATTTAACTATATTTTATAAAATTTTCAATCTTTTCAACGCTGCTTAAAATAGATGATTGTTTCTAGCCCGTTTTCCTTATTAACAATATGAAAAACGGAACCCTCATAATGTCTATTTTTATATTACAATGTTACATCTTTTGCAATTTAATTTTATCTTTAACTTTGTTTGTTGCGCGATTTTAAATTAAATTTAATATTTTGACGACACTCGATTGTCGAAATAATCGATTGGGAAAGACTTTTATTGTATGTCATCAAATCAAGTATATGTTAGAATTTATTCGAAAATGTTGTTATAATAAATATACGAGTATACTACTAAATATATCTTTTAGAGAAATATGATTTGTAGATTTAGAAAATCTTTCGTACTTTATTTAGGGTACATTTTATTGAGATGTTATATAAGATCAAATTTATAGTATAATCTAAATTATTACTTACTTAGTTCTTCATTTCCTTTGACTATATTTGATATATTATATACTACCCTTCCATCAAACTTGTGTTTAAAGCTCATGTCTTTTATTATACGATATGCAACTCCATCACGAACAATATCTTCAAATTTTATTTTAATTGTCGATGTAATATTATCTGTAATAAAATTATATACTCAATTTATTTCAATTCTCAATTTATACGTGTAATATGCATAGAGGTCTATTTTCATAGCTTTTCTTTCTTTGTAATATCATATAAACCAAAACTAAAATATTGATACATTTAAACAAACTAGTGGTGATTTAACTATGTATCTGGAGGATTATGATGCAAAGGTATTGTCAGTTAATATTATGTACATACTGATCTTCACTTTAATATCTCCATCACCATTTACTGGAAATGTTAATATTCTTCCATTAGCTTTATAATGTCCTTTACTCAACAGGTTACAATGCATTTTTATTTGTGTTGTTAAGTTTTCTTCTCTGAAATTATCAACGGATTACATGATATAAAATACTGGCAAAAAATACTTAGGGTAATAAAACACACGCTTTCATTCACGATCGTCTACATTTTAGAACTTAGAATGATTTCGAACAACTTACACCTATTGACTCCCTATAACATGTTTAAGGCCCTGCTTTGTCCAGTGGCGGGTCTGTCTATAATACGTAGTCCTTTATGGATCACCACTCAAGAATATTCCTTCAGTATAAACTAGCAGCGTAAAAATATTAGTAATATAAAAAAAAAAATTCAGAATACTTACGATAAATTTAGCAAATCCACGATACAGTTTTTCATTCCAGTTAAAGTTGCATTGTACAGATGTAATTTTAAACCACCGGCTAGCGAAAACTCTGCACTATCACTAGTTATAGGATCTATTGGAAGTACCCCTAATTCTGGAATACCCTTTGAAAACTCTGGAAGAATTTCTACTATCCTCTTTTTGAGACATTCGCTTGTTAATACAGGGCATGGATGAATATACGAAGCTAAAAAATAAAAAGTAAAGTAAAAAATAAAAACAATAATTTCTATAACATTGATCAAAAACTATTTATCAAGTCATGGAGAAGTAAATAACTAAGAAAGAGAACCAATAAATATTACAATAATTTTTTTTAATGGATGATAATGGAATGGTAACCCCACCTGGGCTATCGGTATACATCGGCGGGGCACCAGTGAAGAATGATAGTTGAGGATGAAGTAGGTCAGTTAGCCCATCGTGACAAATTCAACGAGAATTGTTCACGATGGTTTCCAGTCGAACTAATAGGGCATGTTGCTAGCAATGGAGCTGTCAAACTCCATTGCTAACAATCCCTTTCCCCAACATTACAATAATTATTTCAGGTAACTTGATCTTATCAAGAGACAAAAATATGTTCCTTTAAAAACTTGAAACTTTTTAAGTAAACTAATAAAGGTTAAATGAAAAGTAATACCTCTATATTATAAAAAACAAAGAACCCTTTATTTAATGGGATACTTACGAGATAATTTTCCTAATGCCTGCTTACAAGATACCATATAAAATAATATTGTGGTAAAAAATATAAATTTATACATTTTGCAGTCTTGATAACAACAGTAGCGGACACTTATTCTGAGTGTAGTTAGTACACAAATAAGGATAAAATTTAGTTTTCAAATCTTTTAGACTGTATTTATAAATCTTAATTGTTATTCCTAACATTGAATTAGTATTAATGTAATTATTGTTTAATGACGCAAGTAATTTTTCGTGAGAAAATATATAATGAAAATAATATGAAAACTAAAATTTTACATATTTACTTTGAATACAATAGAGCGAATAGAAAAAACATTCAACTAGTTTATACCGTAGCATTATTTTTATATATTTATTTAAAATAAATAAATTTAGATGCCCAAAATGTAAAAATTAACAAAAAATGTAGTAAAATCGAAAACTATATTAGGTTTTTGAAAAATATTTTTTTGATCCGGGAATTCTATTATACATTCTCACACATAAATTTACTTCTTCTTAAATATAGATTTGTCCTGACAAAAATAAAGATAAATTATAAAAAAAATTACTATAAAAAGTTACTATAATATTACTATATAAAATTTGTTGATTTATTGTTTCATGCAAATGAAAGTCTCTTTAAAAACAAATTATTTTTAAGGGCTCTGATGTTGCTTTGTCATTCTAATGTTATTCTGTTGTCAATTTATTCCTTTCTGGTAAATTACAGTAAAAGTCAAATATATTATGAACATACCAGTTCCCAAAACAACTATTTTTTCTTTTTAGAGAAAATTACTCTTTTATTTTACATGGTGTTATGGCACACAAACTTCCTGCCTGATGACATTTCATTTTAATATATAGCCATAAGAAATTAGAAAGTTGTAAAAATATAATTAGTCCCATAATATTTTAGTAAAATTGAAGATCATTGTTTGTATTATTTACATAAGCTATTCAAATGCACATGGTAATGTCTAAAATTTTATGATGTTTGATTCTAAATTCCCAATATTATAATTATATTATGATAAAATAAACAAATTAAAAAAATATATAAATATTTTTTTTATTATAAGTAGAAAACTTTAAAGACTTTAAATATTGCTAAATCTAAAATTATTTTATTATCCAAACAACTCGCAGAACTTAACTACAAGTTTATATAATATATTTGCTAATTTCATTTTAAAATCAATAATTTTTTACAACTTTAGTTTTCGTATTAAGTCGACTAGTGCCAACAAGTAAACAAGTTATTGACGTTTTAAAAGGTCCACTTCCTGCGATATAGTATGTAATGTACATTCGATTTCACATTATAAATATAATCTGATTTCTTATACATACAAAAACTAAAAACAAAATATATCTTACAGAGTCATACCAGTATTAATGACGTGCTGCTGTCTTTTTTAAATTTACTCGTAAATTTACCTAAATTCCACACTCATTTACATTGTCATTTTAATTTCTGAACTAATATAATTGTTTTGTCGCCTTTTGTAAGATATTATTAAATCAATTATTAAATATAGAGACCTAACATTTCGCTATTTTGGCAACGAAATGTTATGAAAATTTCGTGATGTTATTATTCTCAAGTTTATAAACTGATCCTGTTAAAAGCAAACAAGCAATGTTATCATAACAAAATAATTCTAATCCTATTTTAACAGTATCACGTTTATTATCAGATATACTATATACGAGTTAATTTAGCTTTACCATAGCGTTAACTGTATGTAAAACTTTACTTTCCGTTCTCATAGGAATTTAGTAAAATTCTTAGTAGATTATATGATAAAAGAAATATATTATTGACTTGAACTATTTCCTGTTAAGAAGCATTTTTTTATCACATGTCGTATACTACATATACATGACTACTCACCTATCATATGTCGTACACGGTATTTACTTTTTTATTAAATCTTATTCTAAAGACAGTCCGTAACTAATACTATTACTTATATTGCGATAATACATAGTAATACCATTTACATGGTACAGAGGAATAACACCTGAGTCCTCAGGAATGGCAACGCATGGGGGGTATCATGGGCGAAACAGTATACTCTGTTATGTCCATGGTACTGCTCATGTCTATAGGCGACGGTTACCACTTTCCATCAGGTGGGCCGTCAGCTTGTTTGCCATTCTAAGTTGTATAATATATATATATATAATTCAGACAAGATAATTTATTTGTTACAACAATTTTTAATCAAATTACAAACGAATCCGTAGATATATCATCTTAATAATATGTATATAGCGCTTCTTTTATCATTTCATTGAAAGGCAATAATTTATTTCTAAGCATTACATTCATTACTTTGAAAGAAAATAACCGTAACATCGCTAAAGTATAATAATCTTGAAGATTCCCACGCCTAATTTACTGAAAAGCACATTTCTCTTCCGCTAAGACGTATTAGTCATTTTATAATTACATCAGCTTTTTTCGGATTATATTTAAGTCTGGTTATAATTTATTGTCTATTCTTTCTAAACAACATCGTTTGTCTTAATGCTTACAGAATTCATTTGAATATATTATAAATAACAATTGTTTATGAAAAATTAATAAAATATATATATAATCCTTACTAATATTATTATAAAAATGAAAGTCGTTTGTTACCTTATAGCGCCTTAATGGCTTTACTGGGAGCAAAGGGGTTGTTAGTAATGGAGACTGAGAATCCCATTGCTAGCAATATACCCAACCAGGTCGACCTCCTCGCGGGTCCCCCTGGAAACTATCATGGTTAATTCCCTTTATTGGTGCCCCGCCAGCGTATCCCGTTAGCGCAGGCGGGGTCACCATACCATTTTCACCCATCAAAAAAAAAAAAAATGGCGTAACTGATCTTTATAATGTCTGGTATATATACTGTATGAAATAGAGTATGATATAGACTACTTTTTTATCCCGATCAGTATATATATCCCGGACACGCGGACGAAGTCGCGAGTAATAGCTAGTACTTAATACTTTTCTCAATAGTAATTATTTAACCTGAAATTATATTTATGATGAAATATCAAGAACATTTTTATACTTGTATCACAAACAATTACTAATGATGTGACAATAGAGTGCATATCGAGTAGTAAGGCAGTATTGTATATATTGTATTAACAAACTTATTCCATTTAATCGCCCTACTATCGCCGTTACTAAGTACATTTAAGTCAAATTTTCGGCGTTTCCTTACCAATTACTGTTCTGACATTAACTCGCTCTTCTATTTTTAATATTTCTATATATTTGTATGTTGTTTAATGCTTCCCATCTATTAACAAACTTATAACATTTATTTCTGTTCTGACTGCTTCTTATCACTTTTAACAAATATTTGTTTTTTTTTTCAGTCCATAAAAATTGAATCGACTTTTCTTGGGTTCATAGTGCTATTCGCTTGTATAGCGTTAGTGATACCGTCGTATCTCCTCGTTATAAGTATACTCTCAATTTTTTCAAGATCAAGATGTGATGATGAAACAGAAACTGGAGCTTTATTTCCAGAAGCACACGATTCAGATTGCAATGAAAGGATTTTTGTCTTTGTGACCCTGTTCACTATTCTACTATGTTGGTAAGTAAAATTTATATGCATATATATTAAGTTCAATTAACTACTATTTTATCAAGTTATGGTATTTTATTGTAAAATCTTTATTGTACATACTTTACATTGGACACATTATAAAATTATGGTTGGTACTCATACAATTTTTTATACCATTTTTTACCAAAGTGTAAAGGGAATTTTATAAATTTAAAGAATGTTAAAAAATGTACATAAGTTTTAAAAATAGTAAAGTAATAACCATCGCTCATAGATATAAAAATCACTATGAATAGTGTAGGATACGTTGCGATACTAATGGTAACCCTGAAACATTGCTATTCCTGAGGACTAAGATATTCTACCTCAATATCAGATAATTTCACTACCCTCAAATAAAATCTCAATCAAATCTAGTATATTATAATCCTTACCATTCTTACTAATGAAACTGTTTGATAACTTATATCACCTTAAATGAAATTTGGTATACATTTATAGTATTCGGAGTGGAGAAAGATATAGCCTACTTTTTAATCTAATCAATTAATATCTCTTGTTCATAAAAGTATAAACTCGTGTTCGTTTATGAAAGCTAATTATTCTCATACTTGCACGAGTACACATTATTTTTGTGCGCAAAGAATAAAGTCTAAGACTACTGAAGTTATTGTATGTCTGTGTGACATCTGGTAAGTGTAATTCATTTTAAAATACCAAGTAACATAACATTAAGTGAAAACTTCCTTTCTTCCTCGTTGCCGCAGTTCAGCGATGAAGTTACGTAAACTTTATTTAAGTGCCGCGACACAATTTCGTTTTAATTTCTTGTTTCTACTATATTAAGAACTCGGAGGACTAGAATGTTTATTACGTGCCCATAGCAAATTGACTCTTTCATTATACACATTCACAATATATTACTGTCAATTTATTTGAATAAGACTAACAGAGATTTAGACATATTTAGATAGATAAATAAAAAATGATAAAGCTTATTTATATAATATTTATAAGTTTGATAACTAGTAGTTAGTATTAGTAATGGCCGTTTGGTCCCGACATAGGACCTTCCTTTCCCGTAGGTGTCTTAAGAGCCCATTAAGAGAGAGCGAAGGGTGGATAACAGCGTCCCTCTAAAAACATCTCTAAAGCCTAACTGCGGTTGCCAATACGCCCGCCAAGCGTGGCAACTACTGATAAAACCCCCCAAGGGGACAGTTAAAGTCTGATATTATATGTTTTTTTTTTCTTATAATCATGTTTATTATAATTCAGAAACAAATGATTCCATTCACATTTAAATAACTAATTTCAGTGCTTTGATATCTGGAATGGTAGTAAGCAATGAACAAGCTCATGAGGCAGCAGAAGAAAGCCGTAAAGTGATCAGTTACGCATGTGCAGACATTGCCTCCTGGCTCTCAGCAGCCGCCAGGGATCTGCACCACAGCCTTATCCCGCCTGTTGATCTCGTTTTACATGCTTATCAGGAAGATCTTAAGGGTAAGTTTCTATTCAAACTTGAATATTTGAAATCGGTAATTTGCGGTAAATTTTTTAAAGATTTGTGCCCTGATAAAGGCCCCGAGTTACTTTCATATTTACTAATCTTAATATATTTGTTTATAGTACTGGTGCTTAGCGTATTTACATACATACATACATATCTGTCATTTACCCATCTATGATTATGGCTTTAAGTAACGGTTATCACTTAATCCATTCCTGTCATTAAACGGGAATGTGTATTTAGTCTATGGATCTAAAACAATAGATATTCTAATAATATTTATTCTATATAATAAATATACAGAACATATATTATTTATTTTAATAAATAAATAATACGTTATAACGATCAAATTATATATATATATATATATATATATATATATATATATATATATATATATATAATATCATTTGTCATTTGATGTAAATATTATTTGATATTTGAATACTTTATCGTGGTTTAAAAAATAATATACAATAATATATCTTCTATTTTTACCTTATACTACAGAATGACTGATTTACATTTTATATATTTTTTGTTAATATAATATTGTTAATACATTTATCAAAAACACTCAATACAAACAATATATAAATAAAAATATTTGTACTAAGCAAAGTTCGAATTCGCAACCATAAAAAAAAATAAGACAAATTAAATTGTTTTAATGTTAATTGATTTAATGTCTCATACCATCAAGGTTGTCTAAATAATTCATTATATAATTTGTCTATATTTATATAACAACCAAAGACACGTACTATACACGTATATATACTCGTACAAAATGTGGCCTAAAAATACCCTGTCATAATCTACTTAATATAATATATTTGTTTTTTCATATAAGTTGTATCACTAACGAGCTCGTCCCGGGCAAGTGATATATCCTTCTTCTAATGCGAAGGGCAACCGTCGAATTTCCAAGAAAAAATTTATAGAGTACATTCGGCGATCCTTAAGAAAAAAAATTTATATGCCTAATAATATATCAAGAAATAAATTATACTTATATTGATAAGTATTATTTATTTCTTGTTTCTGTTGTATTTGTTGTATTCTGACTCGTTGATACCTAGATAAACCGCACGAAGTTTTTGGGTACGACACATAAATGTACTATGTATCTAATAAGTATATTGTATAAATTGATAAAAAAAAAAATAGTAAAAGTTACTTATATCTTACCACAGGATATCAACTGATTACCTTAATTTGAGCTTTTCGTAAAACAAAAACAAAATAGATTTAAAAAACATGTTAATCTAAATAGAATAAAAAAATATGTTATTGCATTCTTAAGTCACTGGTCAATTATAGTCATTAAAGAAAAAAATACTAACTTAAAACCATATTTTTTATAGATACTTCGAAATATTATACTTTATGATTTAGCCTCAAACTAAACAAAATTTAGTTGCTAAATGAAGAACTGATTCTTATTTTTTTTAAATACATATATAAACTATATATATAAAAACAACCCAGACAAGCATACAAAATTAATAAAAGTTTTTCTATAGTACCCACAATAATCAGAAGGTATCTTGATTATTATATACTCTTAATACCTTATTATAGAAAGTGATATTCCTAATTAATAATTAGTTTTTTTATCCCTACAGATATAGAACCACTGCTTGGCGATCCTATTCAACATTCGATTGCATCTGAAAGTGGTATCGACCTGGTCTTTGATTCATTAGCTGATATCATAGAAGGTATATGTATCTTGTATTGTTATTATTGAAAGACGGGCGGACTTTTTTAAGGCAGAAAAGCCTGTGACTCTACGACCATGCCATGAGGTCGCAGTGTTAAAGGCTATATCTTGTGTATTTCCACAAAAATTACTCTCACCTCAAGATAATGAACATGTATACGTAACAATAGCAAAATCCATAATATGGTAATTCTTGGTTACCAACCAAATATCTACTGCATTTCAAACTCTCATATTTAAATTAGTATAAAATATTTTGAATTGGAGACATTAATTTCGACAAAGAACGACAAAATTTTGCAACAACTCGGGTTTCGTAACTTCAGCCTTTAAAGTTTACACCCGTGTCGAATTTCAGAAACGGAGGATCTTTCTACAAAGATATCATCTTTACGCGAAGTGAGCATCAGAGCTGGGAACTTAGCAGCGACGGCGGCAGAGAGAATCAAGGATCTGGCCAGGCAAATTGAGAATTTAAAAAAATTTTGCGTCGCCAAAGATGCGCCTTTATGTGACACTATCAATACAAACTCATTAGTACTGCAACTGAAATTTGAATTAGTAAGATGCATTTATATGTTTTTTTTCTTTTTGCTTAGCACTGGAGTCCTTTTATCCAGAAATAAAATAATAAGCATATAATATATCCACTAATAATTCTCGATTTATTTTCGCGTCATATGTAGACATGCATGAACTATAACATGGACTTTACAAAATATAATTTAAAGCCCATGATTTTCCTAACATATTACCACTTTTAAGGACAAATGTGTTATGTCTCTGTGCCAAGTTATTTAATTGTCATATCCAACCTTTTAAACAGAAACAAAACGTTGCAAGTATAAGTGCTTTATGACAGAAACACGAGCGGGACATGAGTACTCATGCAGACGACTTTTGTACAATCTTCCTTTAGTATTACAATATAAATATAATATTATGTTGTAGATACTCCAAGAGCAACAGTTGCTACAATTGCGCTCACTTGGTGTAAACAACATGACCAATGCCATATCTGCTGCTAGAAAAGACTTCAAAAGGTTGCCATCAGTTATAGCAACACAAACAGAACAAGTTAGGAGTGGTAAGATAGCACTTTATACTAATTATAAATAAACCATGGGCGTGCCCAGCTTCTGGCCAAGGGAGTGAGGGAGGGGTAGGGGGAAGCAAGTCATACTTGTGATGATTGTGGCGCTTCCTTACTGTGCAGTTTTTTTTTTTTCAATTTAACACGTAATTTATCGTAATGCACAGAATTTTTAAGGTGGGGCAGCTGCTTCCTCTGCCTCCACCCTCAAGTACGCTCAAAAACAAAATATCAGTTCACTATAAGGAAAATTGCAATCCATAACATATAAATTGCATTGCATACGCATGAATTTAATTATTAAAAACATCACCAAAGTTGCCAACCCGCCTACCAAGCATGGCACTGGCAACACTCCCAAATGGAAAAAGGCCTATATTCAGCAGTGGACAGCTAACGGTTAACATGATGATGATATTAATATAACAGTAAAATTGCATACATTCAAAAACAGTGATATTAACCCAAATGGAAGTTATAGCTATATTTGGGGCAATATTTATCAAATCTTACATTTAATTTTAAAGGTTTCAAAGAGAACTTTTTCAATTTATTCTTATTATGCATATGTAACATGATACTTTCACCAATCGTGAGCCGATTCATAATCTTCGATCTTCAATGTCTCTGTCTTCATAACATCGTATTATGTTTACGTATGGGGGTGACATATTCAAATAAGAATAAACTTCCTTAAATAAAGAAAAAGAATTGTATATTGTAATGATTAAATCAGCTTTTTTTAAAAATCTTAACTTATTATAGTTAATCTTACAATAACTTTAGAATATAATTTTTAGTGGTATAATTAAAATAATAATAAATTTAGAGTCTCCAATACCAACTTAATAGTTGAAGCCGTCTTTTTAGGACTGCGGTACTATCCATAATCTATTCCTTGTTTGTATGAGACTTTTAGAATTGGACTAGCTTCACATTCTACTTTAAAATTTCCAAATATTTCTGTAAATATAATTTTCAAACCTCGATGATAGGTTAATGAGATATTTTAACCAAGATTAAGGTTTTAGTTCACTGTCAGAGCATGTTTTAAATCATTATTGAGAAATATTGAACATTTTATTTGAAAAACGACTTCACTATAATTATTTATATATATATAAATGATTGACAAGTGGAATATTAATTTCTAAATACATAATGATTTTGTTGACTTTTGACTTCCTACTTTGAATACATGCACGACAGAATTTGAATACAGGCAGGTAATGGTTGATACTTGTACAACAGAACTTAATAAATAAATAAATAATATATTTTACACTAGAGGACCAGTTACCTTGAAACCATAACCTACACCTCTAAAGTAATATTAAAAGAGAAAACATTCGATTTTTTGTTTATATTGAATAAACTCAAAAAATATATTTATAAATTTTATTTAAAAAACCTGTGCGAAGACGGGTCTAATATTATACTCAGAGAGAACTGTTGCTTATACTCGCCCATTTCCTTATGTTACACTCAAATCGTCATATTATTGAAATGTACATTTTTCTCCATCTACTTACGAGTCTTAATCTGACGCGCTCGAGTTTTTCTGAAGATCAATTTTTTTACTAATCTGATCGGCTGTCCTCAACGCACGCCCCTATATTAAGGGTTCATATATGGTAGGGGTACATTACAAGGTGTAAGGTTTCTCCCTATATGATTTGCTGACGCGCTCGAGTAATACGCAAAATCCCCGCTGGGGTTCCCTTATTATTAATTTAGACATGCTCCATCTATGTTTTTGGGCTCAAATAAACCTATAATATTATACTCATAATTTTTTAAATAAATATATTAAAAGGAATAAAATACCAAAATCAATTATAATTAGCGAAGATAGCATGTAATATGCACAAAAAATAATATCAATATAAGTGAATAATGCATAATTTAATTACAATTTAAAATCCGTTTGTAGTTTTTCATTATTGTCATTTAACACAAAATATTACAAAAATTTACTTCATACATAGATTTTAAATATGTGCCTTGTATTTGTCTCTACTATTTTATATTGGTGGCTTCTACTTTATGTACAAGCATATCTATATCTGATAGCTATTATTCCATATTCTAGAGATAACTCAGGACCATTCCTTATGGCAGTCTATGGGGGAGACCTATGCTCAGCAGTAGTCAGATAACGGCTAATATAATGATAATTTTATATTAATGATAAAATTGTAAAAAAAATCAGATAATACTGCATATAACTTAATATAATACTATACTTACAGTGAAGTGCAAAATGTAAAAGTTATTAAATTCTTATATTTTTTACTATTATAAAAACGGTATATTTTTTTCAGATATCTTGCGAGATGTAGAATCTCGTAAAGCAGCCATTCACAGCTCATCGAAAATACTAAACGACATAGTACGTTATTTAACATTGGGGCTGCACGATTTAAAACGGGGTCTAGAGACTGATCATGATAGAATACAAAAATACGACTTTTGGAGATGGACTCTCATGTTAGGTAAGCAATTTTAACCTATGATAAGATATATCCAAAAATACTAAATATAAATAAATGCACGTTCATACCATACATACTAGTCGGAGTGGAGAACCCAGGTTTGCTCATAAGATTCAATCGAATTTTTAAAATTGATCTAAGCGAGCCTTGTGTAACATAGCTTACGTATAGAAAGAAGTATCTTTGAAACTACTAATAGCCCTAATCTTTCTTCAAGTTTTACACTGAAATATATAAATTATTTACCTACTACGTGACTGTAAGGGCCACCCCTTCTTTGCCCGTGGGTGCCTATAAAAGGCGACTAAGAGAATTTAATGGTCGAGAGATTGGCGACAGCGTCTCTTCATCACCAAAGCCTAACTGCAATTGCCAACCCGCCCGCCAAACATGGCAACTACCGGTAAACCCCTCCAAAGGGGAGACCTATGTTCAGCAGTGGACATTTAACGGCTGATATGATAATGATAATGATGATGATGTGATTGTAAATAAATCTGTATGAATTTTTTTATGTTTATAACAAAATATGAGTAGTGTTATTTATGTTTTTTTTTTTCTACTACTTAAAAAAGTAAAAATGCTAATAGCCTGTCTTATTGAAAGTGATAATTATTACCTATATAGGTAACAACACGAACAGCATCACAGACATCACAAAAAAAATAGTTTAATTCTCATTTAATATTTTATAATTTATGTTATATCACGTTATTCAAAACACAAACGTCATACAAGTGCAATCATGAATTTAACAAATTTTTACAAAGTTTCCTCTGATGATGAATTAATTTAAATAACTTATTATTTTCAGCTTGTCTCGTGACGTTTTCCATTATAATGATGATGTTATTACTTGGCATAATTTGTGGTTGTGCTCATGCCAAAGGTCATGGTAAAAGAACACTGCAAGTGTAAGTAAACATAAACCGTTTTACTACAAAAAAGTTTAACTTGTGATATACTTATTTACATTACTTAAATATACGTTCACACATCTTTCTGCAAAAGCGTATCAAACCTCTCTTATTGTTATAATAAATAAAAGTCTATTTTAATTAAAATCAATGTAATAAAACTGATAATGTTTTTGCTTTAATACATTAAATTACAAATAAACATTGTTACACCAACTAAACAATGTTTAATAAAACCCTGTTTAGGTAAACAGTGTTTAAAATAAAATTATTTTTGTGGTAGAACGGACAGGATCTTAGTAAATTTTAATTTAACTACTGCATTAGAAATATTTATTTGGTTATTATCATATACGACCTAGTCTAGACATCAACATCTAGTAAGTATTGCGTTTTTTTTACGTCTAGTATTGAGTTTTCAAACTATAATCAATTCACCACATATCTTATTTATTTTTATTTTTATGATACTTTGAATAGCAAACAGGCTGAATGATGCACCTCGTGAAAGATAATAGCCGTTTCCTATAAGCATAAACCATAGCATGACTATCACTAATTATACTATTACGCCCATATGTTACCACTATATGCCTCATACGTTACCATTTTTTTATACTACTGCCATCAGGTGGGCCGTGTGCTTGTTTGCCAAAACAAGCATACGGCCCACCTGATGGCAAACATATGAACGCCTGCAATACCAGAGGCATTACACGCGCGTTGCCGATCCTGAAGAAACCTCATTACTCCTTTTTTGAAGAACCCCAGGCTATAGACTTTTGGAAAAACCTTGATAGGAAACTCATTCCGTAACCTGAGCGTTCGTGGGAGGAAATATTACTAAAACGACGTTGTGCGCAACCATCCAGGCTCCAAGGTATGGTGATAAACTCTCTGTCGATGGCCATTTCTGAGAACTAAGGTGTTACTCCTTCATACCTTGTAATTTCCCTACCATATCCCACGTTTAAAAACATTTGCAACATATACAGTGCTTTATAGTAAAATCACGAGTGAGAACGGAGGTACCTACACAAACTTTGAAGAAAAGAATATATTCGCTCCTAAAAGGCCCAATTCCTTTGATATTGTGAATACACATGGGCAGCGGAAATCACTTACAAAAGAACATGTGTTGGGCTCAAACAGGACACGCAGTATTAGCCGTAACTGCATTCATCAATATATTCGCGAATTCATACCTCTGCCGAATTATAAAACTCTAGAATTTTCTTCCCAGTCACGTGTTTTCCCCTACCTATAATCTTGCGGCATTTAAGCGAGGCGTGAAGAGGTACATTTATAGGCCAACACAGTATAAATTGCTACGATGGCGACCCTTTGGGTCACAGGTTATGTGATTATGATCAGGGTAAGCAGGTATGTTCACCATCATCACAGCACCTCGCCCCGCGGTCACATTGACTCTTCTGTTTTCATTTAAAAATTTCCTCTTGTCGGTGCAACTAATTCGGTCACTTTGACTAGCTCTTATAAAAAATACTAGTGATCTGGTAGCTTCACACAAGTGGATAAAATCTCTACTTTCGAAAATTATATCTAGTCTATATTATTCGATGATAATATAACTTTATACAAGTGAAAAGCTTTTAAAATCCGTTGAACAATCCATCCATTGCAGACAAGCAAACATACAAATATTTTCTGTTAGTATCAACAATATCAGTATACTAATATCTATGTATTATTTCACCATATATATACATACATATGGATGCCTATCTACTATGGGTATTTGTACAGATGGTTCATTAAAATATAAGTATAATTGCTATATCGGTAATTCAATATCCGAACTCATTAACGAAATTGGGAGTCAAGAGTCTACGGTACCGCTATGTATGCATGAGGCGGGTTATGAAAGTGAAAGAAGAAAAGATGTATGTATGATATATACACATATCACTCAAAATAAAAACTATACGATAGTATTTTAATTTACTTGCTTTCTTCTTTTGTAGATCTGCAGTGTGGCTATGTTTTGGTTCTTTGATATTGTGGACAGTGGTATCGGCTACATTTCTGATTACTGGACATGCCGAGGTAACTAATTCATACTCGTATTTTATACTAACTTTTTTACACTAATAATACGCTCTGTTTTCTCAGTTTTTTTTTTTTTAATAATATAATAATAGTACATCCCATTTTACTTGCTGATTTTAAGTATATTTTGTATTTATGTTTTGATTATTTCTAAAAAAATCTCTTCTCTTTATAACATTAGTTTAGATACACCTTAGTATATAGTTTTGTTGAAATTTTACATAAAGTTTTATTTGAAAAGAGTTGTAATAAGTAAAAATAAACGTATAATAGCAACATGATTCAATACAATATATTGCCTCGTAAAATTGTACAGGAGTTGAATCGAAAATTATCTTAAAATAACCTTGTTACCTACCGAAGAAACTGTCTATTTGTTAAATGTGTATACAAAAATATAGAAAATAAGTGAATGTTCTGTCGGATATAATCTCTAATAGGCTATTTAGAGGTACTTACCGAATATTACCGTACGAATGTAACATTGACATGCCTGGGCAAACCTTCAGCCGTCACTCAAATTTCTCTTTTTCGAATTTAATACACTTATTTATATGGATGTCCCGTCCGCTCTATTGGTTTGTTAAGGATTTGTTTTGTCACTAAAGAATTATAAATGGAAATCAATTTAAACTGACATGCAATTCTGTGTGGTTTGTCAGATTCGATCTTAAAACCTTTGAGATCTACAATATAAATATAAAGTTGTCACGAAGGTTACATACCTAAAAAAATGATTATTTACTATTTTATACGGCGTTGCAGCACTTACAGAAACTATATTGGTAAATCGACATTTTCACATCTTTGATCATGTAAATGAACTAGATATTAAATACAAAAAGATTTTCTCAAATCAAACTGTTAGTTTTTAGTTACTTAGTCTTTTATATATTAGTTGATATGTACTATATTTAGTGCTTTATTATATAAATACCTATAGAAATAGAAGGCTAAAAAAATATATATAGTTAAATGTTTTCACAGGTGTATGTCTGTCATGCATTATGGGACACACCGCAATATGAGACACTAGTAGCCCTTCTGGACAGGCCTTCACCCTTACTAGAGAATGATGAGGGTATTTTCGATTCGATATTCAGAGAATTGAATAATGTTACAATTGATGTATCTATTAAGGATGTATTGAGGTAAAATAAAGTGTTTTAATTAAATTATTCCTTTGAAATCAGCTGGTGTGTGTGTGTGTGTATAATGTGTATTTCGTAGTAGAAGTCACAAGCAAAGGGAAACATATTTGTCTTGTATAGACAAACGTCGTACAGTACCTAAATAGTTGTATTGATTAGTATTTACTGATTTATATCCTAACTACCTTATTTATTTTTTACATGTTCTAAGAATACCCAAATAAAGTTAAATAAAATTAAATAATACTGCATATAAATAATGTAATATTGACCTAATGAAGAATCGTATTTTTAGTAATTTATGCTACTATTTGTCACTGTATATAACACTTGTGATCCAGCCCGGCGCGGCGTCGCATAGTTAGATTGATTTCTCAAAAACAATATAGCCTATGTAATTTGCAGATAATGTGCCAAATGCTATTAGAGCGCACAGACTTATGTGCCCCTAAATTAAATGTCCGTAACAAATGCAAAGCTGTCTTTAAAATTACCCAGACATAAAACTAATTTAGGGTTGCATGCTCCTGTCTCGACGTTAATCAATACGTACAATTCCTGTAACGAGTCCCTGAATCTTGATATATTTCACGACCATCCCAAGTCATTCAAGAATAAAATTCTAAAAGTTCTCTCATAATGCTACCATCATTTTTCCACAACTAATAATTTTAATTCTGTGTGCACTGTTTTAATAATTCTATATTTTAAGTATTCTTATGTTATCACCTGTATATTTTTTATTGTTTTTTTGGTGTCAGTTTTGTTAATATGTAATCGATGACTTAATAAAATGTTGTGTACATCTATAATCGGTGTATATGCAAGATGCAAGCCCTGTATATTAATTAAAATTAATGTCTGTATTTACATTGTTGATGTACCTTTTAAAATAAACAAAAAATATAACATTCTACATGTGAAAGATTTTTTAAAAGCTGTTGACCAATTTTTATTTTATTATTTAGAAATATGCAATCAAATCTTTCCTCTTTATAGTATTAATTTAGATTAATAAATTAATTATGATAATGATGACTAATAACAATTATACTTACGCTAAAATAAAAAAAAAAAAAAACAGTAATACTTAAATAAAATTATTTTGAAGATTCGTGGCACAATGATAGCAATTGTCTGTTCTTCAACTTCATGTTCTATAATTCAAGACATCATACAGTTAGTTAGCCTTACAATCCAATACACCAAAATCTTATTTGGTATGAACGCTATTTTCTAAATTGGTTCAGCTGTAAATCTGTAGCAGCGTGTAATAACATGTTACTAAATACGTGATTAAACAGTACACTTCAAAGTGATTGAGGTGGAATTCATAGGATGTTTAATTAAATTGATTAAAGATAATCTTAAAGACATGACTCTAATAGATTATTACATATATACAATAATTATATTTGTAGTAAAGCACTTAATCTCTAAAACAAAGTCTTTACCTACTTTGACTTAGTAGCAAATATAGTGAATATTTTATTTTTTTAATTATTTACTAAACACTCTATGTGAAGATTATATTATCTGTTATATCCATGATACTGTTCATGTCTATAGGCGACGGTTACCACTTTCTATTAGGTGGGCCGTCAGCTTGTTTGCTATTCTAAGTTGCATAAAAAAAGGATTTTATAAATATGCTATAAAAATAAGAAAACTTTACTAGTAAACTGCCGATGTTTCATAGAAGGATTTAAAAATAACATGCTTTTTAATATTTAAAATTAAATACGAGTATAACACAAATCACATCTAAAAGTGGTTAATTTCGATAGCAAATAAAAATATATATTTTTTCTCTTTCATCTAGAAATTGTTAAATTAATTTTTAAAAATATTTATGACTACTTTTAAAGGGACTGTGAAAAAGATCGTCCAGCCTATGTAGTGTTTCAACTTGACAAAATACTAGATGTAAACAAAGAAACCTCTTACTTCGAGTGGCAAGAACTGCAAACAGACCTAGGCCGATTGTCTTCTACGATAGACGTGGGGCTATTAAAGACAATATCGTTTAAGTTCAACAAACTCTTGAACCAAATGCTAATTGTTTCTGAAGTCAAGCTAGCTAATTACAGGTAAGAGAATCTAATGCATTTTTTATACAATTTACTGAGGTGGCGTCACGGAGCACCAAGAATCTTAAGTTAACTGACTAAATAACTAAAACCTTAATCTTCAGGAATAGTAATACATGAAGTAGGCGACAGAATATAATCTGTACCATCCATGCTACTGTTTATATCTGTAAGCGACCGTTACCATTTTCCATCAAATGGGCCGTCAACTTGTTTGCGATTCTAAGTTGCATAAAAATAACCATGGGGTTATTGGGATGTGAAAAAGACGCTGAAAAATGTTATTAAAACTGCCTTATCTTTGAATTTGCAAGAAACAATACAATTTATTTTTTATTAAAATAGAATATTCCGGTTTTGAAAATTTGCATGAATGAACATCGGGACATGAGATATACTTTTATGATTATATTTCCATATTATTTTTTAAATAACTATTTTCGTATACAAGAATGGAATACAATGGAGCTGTAGTTGGCAAGGACTTGCCATCATTAGTGGACCAACTCGAGAACATCGCCGCTCAAGTATCGGACCTCACTACTGCGGGAAGATTGGAGACTTTGGGTGAGAAACACACTTGTTATTCTAATTGAATTAAGATGATGCTCTAGCACACATATAAATAAACATAACATAATCAAATAATATTTTTTATAACCTACGAAATGTGGTAATGGGTCTTTTAAAGAAGAATCTTATTAGACTTTTTTTATTTCTGTACATTGTCTATTATATCTTTCCAATATTAAATGTAAAATTTACTGAACGGATTTGAATAAAATTTAGTACTATGATGGATTAATGAGCATACATTTTAAACCAAACCACATGGATAATGCCACGACTGAAAGAACTTACAAGTACTATTCATGGCGAAAACTTAAAAAGTACAAAATAAAAATAGTAGTTCCGGACAGAAATTGAGAGCGACAAAACTGGTCTTTAAAATATATTTAAACATTCATTTTAAGTTAGATATAAATTATTGTATAATGCATTATCTGATTATTTTATTTTTATTAATTAGCTACAAGAACACAGAGATTATATCAGACTAATATAAAACCACTGGAACATTTGCGTGCAGAAGTCGTGTTTAAATTGACAGAATTAGAACTTCAATTGATGCCATTCAGAAGAAAACTAAACATATCATTAAGTCATATCCACACAGCTCAGTACTACATCGACAACCAAGGCGAGGTTATTGCTCAGAAGGTGAATATTCAATTTATATATAATCATTCACTGTCAACAAGATAAGTTGCGAAAAGTTTTTAAAATTAATGGCAGTTCAATCAAATTACAAGGATGTAAATAAATTATACAGGACTATTTACATCTTTTACAAAGTTTAATTACTGAACCGAATTTTGTGAATGTTGGTAAAAATATATACTGAAATTCATAGATAGTTATTAAATTAGAATCTGCTGTCAATAACATAACGTAGACAGATTCTCAGTTATCAAATTGTTCCTTTTGGACATTAAAAATTTTATGACATTTAATTTTAATATAAAAACCTTAAAAGAATTGTATATTCTTGAATAAAAAGTATACAAAAAATATATATAATACTATGTCTATATTCATATTGGGTAATAGAAATAGTAGTTTTTATGTTTTAATTTTATTTGAGTTTCTTATAAAATTTTACTTAGTTGGTAATTCTGCGATAAATCCCGCCATTAAAGACTACGATGGTTTTCCCTAAAGTATGAATAATATTTACGTTTATTACAATTATTAAATTAAGCACTTATTGAACCAATTTAGTTGTATTTGCTAACGACTATATTTTATTTGGGGGCGAGAAGAGGGAAAGGGATTGTTAGTAACAGGGAGGTTAGTCCCCATTGCTATCAATATACCCTATCAGGTCGACTTCGTCCTGGATATCGCCGTGACTAATTTATCGTTGAATTCGTCACAATAGGCTAACCTGCCTTTTCATCCTCACCAATCATCCCTCACTGAGGCCTTGCCAGTGTATACCAATAGCGTAAGCGGGTTTACCATTTCATTAATAAAAAAAGCTATATTTTATTTACTACCTTCCAAAATAAAGGATACATTTATATTATTTCTTGCAGAAAGTATCAATGTACGTATCACGTTTGATCTCACATACTGCGAGCTGGCGTACACACGTTCTACAATCAGTCGGAAAATACGCGGCTCGGTGCAATCCGCTTTTCTCCGTATATTCAGCATTAAGAACTCTGCTGTGCAGTAAATATATTGCTTCTATGGTGAGATTTTACTTTAAAAGAAATATTTTAGATTTCATGAAATCATAATGTTGTCACCTGAAACTGAATTTAATAATTAATCCTAGTTATTTCAAAATATATATGGCGATAGACAATAAATAGGTATTTACTTGTTATTATTCAAAAAAATAATAGCTGGAAGACCAGAGGGAGACTTTGTACAAAAGTCGATTTCTTGGGTACCTCTGTCCCATCCGTGTTTCTACCGTGAAGTAGTTGTGTTTGCATGGCTGTGTTTCGGTTTGAAGGGTGGGATATGGTGTGAATTTACAGGGTACAGAGGAATAACACCTGAGTCCTCAGGAATGGCAACGCATGGAAGGTATTATGGGTCAAACAGTATACTCTGTTATGTCCATGGCACTGTTTATGTCTATAGGCGACGGTTATCACTTTCCATCAGGTGGGCCGTCAGCTTGTTTGCCATTCTAAGTTGTATAAACAAAACAAAAAAGTATTTTACATTGAACTTACATTAAATTGGAATTGTCCTAAATATAGATCAAATTAGAAACATTTGAAAAGGATAAATAAATTCAGCACAGATGGAAAATGATATTCTGTAGAATTTATTACTTCTAAAGAAAATATAGCATGCATTATACATGAATATTGAGACTTAACTTCTCATATCAGTATATCACGGAAGACATTATATGTATGAATGAATGAATAAAAACTCTTTCTTGTTACGATTGTATGATTTGAATAATAATACAGGTTTATGTTTTTTTTTTTAATGTAATTTAGAAATTGTAAATAACTAACGGCTTACCTAGAGAAAATTTTAACCATAGGATCACTAACATCACAGATGATACTATGATGTCCATGGTATCCTTCATGAGTTGCTATTCCTGAGGACTATGATATTATGCTTTAGTTTTCCATAAGTTCACTACCATATTATCCCTCAAAACTGTAGTTAAAACAGTGTATTGTAATATCTAGTTTAAATTTAATATAAATGTATAGACATTTCTTTTTAATACAAAAAGAAAATTAATTTTTCATATATTTAGCTATTTTTGTCTGTTTGTATATTTAACTCTTATCACGAATCTTGTATCAAAAGATGTTGTCTATCTGTGTATTTTTAACTACAAAACTCTTCAATCTATAAAAATAAAGTACACACAGGTTGTAATATATATAGTACAGTGTAATGAATTCTTTTCTTGTAATAAAGTTATGTACACGAAGTCTAATATATACATAATTTTAGATAATCTAAGACTACCTAAAATTTATTACGTTAATAAGTATTAATGCAATTATATCCTTTTATAATTCATTTTGGCACTTACAAGAAACAGTGTCAAAATTTAAAATAACTGACATTTATCTCACAATTTCGGGTCAAAACCCCAAAATTATTGTCAGATTTGTGAAATAACAAATATTTTAAATAAATAAATTAAAAAAAATATAATTGTGTAAAAACATAATGTACTTATTGTAATTGTACTTGCTTAGAACTTTTGAATAATTTAAACTTATTATGAATAGAACTCAGAAAGTCGTATCATTTGTAACATTTGTCATTTACACTCTTTCGATTCAGTGGAATATTGAAATTGTTCAAGTTTAATCGTCTAATGGCTACAATTTATAATTTACAAGCGATAAAATTAATTAGTAAATTGACATTTATTTGTAACATTTATTTATACTCTTTTAGGTCGATAATTTAAAATTCAATTTCTAGTTTTTCATTATTTATCAAGACATCTGTATTACGTTTTGTAAAAAAATGACAATTAAGAATTGAGTCGTACATAACAAAAATATTGTAAATTGAAACTTAACAACAACAAAATAACAATGTAAATTTAAACATATTTATCAACAAACAAGTTATTATTTTTATTGTTAAGTAATTAATTTAAAATATCATTTTCCGTTCATTTTATATTTATAGATGACTCCATAATTTTATAATGATATTAATGTCCGGCACTGTATATAAGATAATATAATAAGCGAGTTTTTGATATGAAATAATATTATGCGTGAAAAATAATTACTTCTGATTTAGAATAAATCTCTCTCTCCCTCTTCAATATTACGATAGAAAAAAATTAAATAACTTTTTGTATTATAAACTAGATTATACATATAATAAAAAAATATTACTTTGAGGAATATGAGATATCAAATCTAACACTTAAAAAAGGTTAAGTTTTGTATCCATATTACAAAAGGTTGAAAATAGAAAGACAGTGTAACATAATCGGCCATTTTTACTAAAATTAGCCTTTTTATTATATTCACTTTTGATATGTTCTTTTTTCAGCATGGCTGGTGGCTGTGCGGTTTTCTGCTTGGCCTTACGTGGTGCACCACATTAACACCATTATGTGTTAAACTTTGGCGATCATACAGTCGAAAGATCAGATCACTCGAAGCTATCACTTTGTCCAATTTAAATTCTGGGTAAATATTTCTTAATAAAAGTCTATTAAGTATTACGGTTATGTTCATTTCGTTAGTTTTTACGTAAAAGTTATCACGATGGAGCAATTGACAATTGATAATATAGCGTTGGTAGTTACCAATTTTATTTTATAAAAAAATTAACAAAATAATCTAAGTGACGGTGTTAGTGGTTCTAATTACTATAATGAATTCAAATAAGCTTGGAAAAACATAGACATGTCAAATATCACATTCCTCACAACAGTAATATTAACTTTGCTCTGACAAATCCATCAGGAATTATAGTCGATAACATATTTATATTATATATTTATGTGTAAACATATACAATTTGAAATGTAACTTGATTGTATTAATAGACAATAATTTGTTTTCAGTCAACAAGAAACACCAACCACTGCTCTTTGCGATGGCAGTAACTGGAACACTCCTGGGTATAATTAATCATTTTTTAAATTACTTAAATATATTTTCTATCATTTTATTACAAGATCAACCATAACCAGACGCTCTATTTTTCTCAAAAATGCATTTAATTTTTTAACATAATTTTACTCGTATTTTTTAAACAGGTGAAGGGTTTAAATGGGATTAAACATGAAAAAATAAAAATGAGGAAGTTCTCAATTCGTCTATTTTTTTTGGCACGTAATCGTGGTTTTGTAATCGATTGAGTTTATTAGCGAAAAATCTGGTTTATACAATATTCACATATATCCGCATTCTAAATTCAATTTTTAATTCATTAATTACCAGTTAAGTGATTGTAACAATTGCTTTGTTATTTTTTATTTTATTTTTAACTGACCAGGGATATGAAGTCCCACAAAATAATACCTAATTCGGTAAAATTGGTTTATTTACACTATTTTTTATTCCTTTTAAAAAAATATCAGTATCGAAATGTATAGAACCGCTGTTTCTTCTAACACAAAATGTACTTTTTTTTTATACAACTTAGAATGGCAAACAAGCTGACCGCTCACCTGATGGAAAGTGGTAACCGTCGCTTATAGACATGAGCAGTACCATGAACATAACAGTATACTGTTTCGCCCATGATACCCCCCATGCGTTGCCATTCCTGAGGACTCAGGTGTTATTCCTCTGTACTCAGTAAATTCACGCCATATCCCACCCTTCAGACAGAAACACACCGTACTTGTCTTTTGAATATATATAACATACAATATACGTACAATATTCACATAAATTTATATAATAACATAATCAGACATCGTGACACGCCATGACAGTTATAGACTTGTCTGCTTCACACATGTCTATCAACTGTCACTGGAACCTGCTATATTTGACATAAACAAATATGTAGGGTAATTAACAATACTTACCTGTCCTACAGGACAGGCGCAGCCCAGTGTAGAAATCAATGATAAATTCTGTGCTTACACAAACATACTTTGTTAAATAAATATATCTTTATCTAATACATCTTTATTTATTATAAAGATTAATATTAGATAACAATTGTGTGTAGATAACAAATAACATAACAATTGTGCATAAATTGTTAATCTGTAGTACTCGTACATATTTTTAATGGATTAAAATGCAATAGTTACCCTGCCTGCGTTATTGGTATACGTTGTTGGGGCACCAGTAAGGAATGAAAGATGAAGATGAAATAAGTTAGGTGGCCCATCGTAATAAATAATTAAACACGATTAAATTTACCTTTATGCTTTTCTTCCTTTTTAGTTTTAAATATATATACATACGTAAATAAATATATCCTATGTACACATGTTATATGGAATAAAGACCTCCTGGGGATATATTTAGCACTGGACAGATAAGGGCCAGAAGAATATAGACTGCTTTTTGTCCATGTCTTAGATTATACTCGTATATATTAGAGCATCGGGTCTCAAAAACAGGTCCGTTTCTTTATCAGTTTTCTATATACTTACGCACATAATATATCTTGTTGTATCTATATTTAATTATTTAATAAATAAAATGAGTTTTTACACATTACGAAGATGCAAAAATTATAATACAAAAAAAATATAAAAGTTATAAAGGAAACACTCATAACTATTTATCACGTAAAATTGTATGAAAAAGTTGACCCACTTTTCTCAAAGCATTTGTATGGAGACACTCAATCTATATAATCTAAGGGCCAGGCAATAAACATATCCCGGCCACGCGGACGAAGTCGCGGTTAAAGGCAAGTTTTATTATATTGGTAAGAATAATGAGCTCGAATAATATAATTAAACTATAATAAAAATATGAATATACCTACATTTATTAATATCATAGAATGTAAATAATTATATTACAAGTACGAGTAATTTTAAGCTTATAAATGTTCTTAGAATGAAAGTTCTATATTAATAGTATCTCTCATAAAAAACATCAAAGAAAGGAAGTGATTTCATAAAACTTATTCCTAAGAATCTATTTTATTAAGATTTTGTTACTAACCTATGTTTTAGGGCTCAGTGCCGAAAAGATACAAATAAACCTTTAAGGTGTAATTCTGTCCGTTCTTCTGTCACAACACTGCACTCCAGCAACTACTAATGCTATCAATTTGTTTGGAATAGTTTTACATATTGTTGATCCACGTGTATTATTAATATAATATTAATATAATAATTATAGAAATAATTAAATATATATTTTATTTCCAAGGGGGTCCAATAGGGGTACTCAAAATGTCAAAATGTCCTACAAGTCCAAGTGGATCATATGAAAAGTTTCTTTTGAACATTTTGAATGTAATTTTTATTTATTTTTATATTATAAAGTGTTTGACTTATTATCAAAAATGTAAGAAAAAATCTAAAATAATTTACTGTTTATGAAAGCATACGTTAATATTATAGAAAAAGTGAAATAATCATTTTAAGTAGCATAATTTCTAATAAATATTTATTTTAATCCTTAAAAAATAAACCTAATTTTGCAGTTCGGTTTTTAACAACAATTATGACCTAAAAATAAGGAAAAAAGAATTTAAGAATTGCAGTATCAATATACAATAATAATTACTTGGTATCTATTTCGTATAAGAATTGAAAAAAAGGTCATTTTATCTCATATACTGAACCCTCGACGTGTAAGTATAACTCGCCCCTGACCGATTTGATTTGTGAACATAGATAGGTACTTTTAAACAAGGAAAATATTGTCGAACAATATGTAAAATACTAGCCGTATGCTGCGGCATTATCTCCATTAATTAAAATTAAAAAAAAATACTACATTTTATTCGCTACTTCTTAGACGTGATCGGGATATACCTATAATTAACTGAGTTAAAATAACCTGTATCTTTCTTCATGTCAAGTTAGACGTGTATACATTTTATAACGACTGATTGGACAGTTAAGGCGTCAAGAGATAACAAACAATTTCGCATTCACATTATTACATTAAATCAATTATTAATAAAAACAACAAAAATATTTTCTAAAAGTATCAAAACTATTATTTTCAAAATTTATATTAATTTTTAATTCTATGTCTATATACATATATGATTTGAAATACATCAAACATGACACATGCACATAGTATCAAAACTGTTCTGAATTTTAAAGAAGAAATGTATATATTTTTTTCAGACCACCACCTCCCAGAAGCGACAGTTGGTGACAATAAAAAGAAAACAACAGAAGAAGATTACTTCATTAATTAAGGCGCAAAATGAACTCTTGTTGCTACACAAGCACAAAACAAATATAATATTTCCAATAAAACATCTCCTGATGTAAATCTTAACAAATATTATTAATGATTACTATTGTTAAAATAAATAACATTATTAATTGTGTAGTACTGATCAATTAAAAAATTGTAAATTTTAACTTACATTATCATTATCATCATAATTTCATTCTGTTTCATTTTTATATAATACTGCTAAAACATTGGATAACAAGACTTGCTTTTCAACAATACTAGAAATAAAAACACTAATATATATATATATATATATATATATATATATATATATATATATATATATATATATATATATATATATATATCGTCGTAGAATAGGCCACCGCTTGAGGCGACTAAGAGAGGGCAAGGGATGGGCAGCAGCGTACTATTTAAAACATCTCTAAAAGCTTAACTGCGGTTACCAACCCGTCTGCCAAGCATGGCAACTACTGACAATACTCCCCTTATGGGAAAGGCTTATGTCCAGCAGTGGAGACTAGAGGAGTTAATGTCTAGAATAATATAATAAATATATATATATATTATATATTATACTTTACAATGTTGATTTATGTACGAAATCTAGAAATCTATAATATCAGCAGTACTTCTATATTAAATTGATGCAGCTGGTACACACGTTCCATACAATGTAGCTACAAAAAAACGAAAATACATTTGGAATTCAATTGCGCCCTAATACAGAGTCAGTAGATTGGATTTTGAATTATTCGGTTGAATTACAAATCTGTAATATCATGAGTAACAAGTTCTTTTATTTTTATTTTTTGTTACTATAAATATTACTGACTTTAATACTAATAAATATAATTTTCGCTTTGCAAAAAAAAGTTAATTCGTTAGTAATAAAATTAATATGAAACCGAAACTATAAATGAAACCCTGTCGACTATAAAAATGATTATTAAAAATCTAATCTAATCACTTCTTTGACCTAAAAGTCTCCAATGAATGACAACACATAAGCTTTTATTTCGTATAAATTATAACTAATACATATTTTATATTGATGTATATGATTACAGTATATATTATAAATATTCATCACGCCCTCATCTTGTTAACCTTAAAATTTGCAAGCCTTACAACATATTTAATGGGTTTATTTTTAACGACATTCGACTCGATAGACCACAATCATATTATAGATACACGTACTCTACAACGTTTATGTAAGACTTCGTAAGTCTTATTACTATAATAATCTTATCAATGTCATTGATCTATTATATCAGTAGGTGTATTCAGATGAACATAGTGATATAACAAAAAATAGTTTAATTAAAACATTCATTGTGTCTATTTCATTACATAAATAGTAAAGATTGAAGTTTACTAATTGACACTATTATACATAAAGTATTTTTTTTTAATTTTCATAATACTAATGATACAATAAACACTCATTATCAACATACCAGCCGTTATCTGTCCACTGCTGAACATAGGCCTCCCTCTGACTGACTGTCATATGGAACGGTCTTGAGCTATCCTCTCACTTTCTACAATGTATTTTATCAATAAACATTACTTGGAAATAAATGGAAGTCTCTTCTATGAACCCTTATTCTTAATGAGGGACACAAGAAAAATTTTACCATCATCATCACCTACAGCTTTTTCATATTATTATTTACGGTTCTGTATAGTAATAAATAGCAATTCCAATCATGGAAAAATTAAAGTATAGGTATCTATCGATGGAAAAGTATGATAAAAATCGACTCAGAATTGGCCAGTACAAAGAACCTTTTTCATTTTGAAGATACTTAAAAATAAAAACTAATCATGCAATACAAGTATTTTATTTTTAATTAAAAAAAATATTTCATGTAATATTTTCTTTCATAGTTAATTCTTAATAACAATTTTATAATATTATATACAGTCAAAAGTGAAGTAGGTTTGCACTTCTGTAGAACTTTTTAAATTTTATTAACCGGACGGTAAGTCTATAAAGATACAAACATCTGTGTCATCAAAATAGGATAAAATAAAAGGTAAATATTACTTAGTGAGGCATATCGGTAAGGCAAACATATCACTAAAAGGAACCGGAAGGTGTAAAGAACGTAATAGCACACCATCTGACATTTAAGAAGTTTGGCATTGATCCAACGTTTATTGGGCGCAGGGCATCAGGGCTGGCACTGTAAAAGGGCAAGATTAGTACTTCTGTACTTCATATTCAATTGTTGAACCCAAAAAGAATGTTATTAAATTAACTTAATAATTACTAACTCCTTCCGGAGACAGGAAAAAAACTGGTGTTTATATATATATAAAGTACATTAGCATATTGACAAACCATGAGCTTTTTTCTTCTGTACTGAAAATATATTAGGTTGTATTTCTATTATCTCAGACAGAACCCTGAAAATGAAACAATATAGTGAGATACATTTTCTTACTTTATTACTATTTATATTATATATAATAGGGAACAAACAAGCATGCAGCTCATCTGATGGTAAGTGACTACCGCCGCCCATGAGACACCAAAAAAATTTACTCTACTTGAAAGTTACAATGTCGTATCGGTTCGGAAAAGCTGCTGCTAAAAGTTAACTATAAAGCGTGGTTGCACATGGAAGAAGGTGCCTTGAAAAACGCACGGTGGAGAACCGCCACTCATTCGCACTACATTTGAAGAATCCGAAATTATAGATTGAAGAAAACACGTATAAATAAATTGTGATATATGTAAACCATATTACGCATATTCTACACCATACGTAATCCTGGCAACCCTGATCGACGTTAACTACCTCGTTTTGTTTACTTATAGTTCATATTTTATTCGTTGCGATATCCAAACGATACAAACAGGTATCAGCAACCAGCTAGTACAAATAATTGTTAATTACGATACATGCCAACGAAATCCGTAGAGGTAAACATTTGCAATTGTGACAAGGTTTAAAAATGTACCATAACACACTACTCAATATTTTCAAATATTACATAAGCAGTGCCCGATCGAGCAATATTCGCCCGGTTTCAATTATAACATACTGCAATAAATTTCTTTATTTATATACGATATTTAGAGAGTATTGCCAAGTGACAGCTGACATTTCTTTCTCATTGCAATGACGGTATAAGGCAAAATTGTATAAGGGTACAATGTGTCACCACTTCTTTTCGTCCCCAGGATGTTGTAAGAGGTTAATAAGGGACATTACATCAGCGCAAGACTAGGAGATTTCGAAACAAAACGTTCTACTAAATCGCCTAGTAAGAGTAATAACAGTATTCTACTTGAAAGACTCATATTATGGTAATAGTTTTATTAGATGATAGTTGATATATTTCAACTAAAACTTTATTATCCATAGAAAGAATGAAATTCTTTAAAAAAGGATAGTACTATATTATATGATTTCTTGAACATGTGCAATGCGCACGTAATAACCTTTATATTGCATATTTCCATGGGCTACAGTAATCATTTATCATCAAAGAAGCCATACATTTAATCACTACTATCACCAATAATCAAGAAAAAAACATATAGAAGTACGTTCTTATTTTGAATTTATAAAACTAAACTGGTATTAGCAATTGGCATAAATAATTGAACAAACAAAATATAAAAAATAGATTATAAGGTATTTTTAGAAAAACGCTTGTACTATTCTATATTTATTGTAAATATACAATCACGAATATTAGCATATTACAAGATCATTATCTATGGTTATTTTATGTCATTTAAACCGATATGTTAAACATGTCCTGTAAACAAAATAAAAATTTGAAAGCGATAAAGGACACACCCGGGCAATCGCGACTAGTGACATAAACATATGCAAATGTACAATTACAGTTGCGCAAGCGCAGCTCAGATGTAATGATCCATCGCCAACCGGTTAACATTTCTCGTGGCCTTAACATCACTGTATGCGTTTCGACACACATAGAGATCAACATCGGCTCATTGTTGGACATTCTCGTCCGTAAATTGCAGATACCGTATCAGCTGATTGATTATTTTTAATTTGTAACATTTACGCAACGAAAACATTTGGTTTGAACAACAATGAAGAAGAATAAACCAGTCGATTAACCGAACACGTGGGTTGAATTAGCATTGAAAAGAAATAGCCCCACCAATCGTTCAAATGAACCTGTGAGTTCAATAGACTACCGGCTAAGTCTTTCCCAATGCTATAAAGAACTGGTGATGAAGGTATGATTTCTTCAGATCTGTAGCACAATGTTAAAAAAACACTCTTCTCTATAAAATACTCTTTTCTCTTTTATTAATCATAGGAATAATCAAACTAATTCCTGTGATAAATTACATTTTAAATCCTTTGTAAACCGGTTTTCGTCCTGGAGCTAACAATTCGGTCCGGTTCTACAGGTACTTTTTTTTAATGGATGATAATGGAATGGTAACCCCGCCTGCGCTATCGGTATACACTGGCGGGGCTCCAGTGAGGGATGATAGGTGAGGATGAAGCAAATCAGTTAGCCTACCGTAACGAATCTAATAATAAATCAATCACGATGGTTTCCAGAGGGAACCACGACGAGGTCGATCTAATAGGGTATATTGCTAGTATTGGGGCTAGTTTCTACTAACATAGTTTAAGTCAATTGTTACTAACAAGAATGGATCTTTGTAATCTATAAATAAAGAAATATTATTAAACCCTATTACTAACAATCCCTTCTCCCCCTGCCATGGGGGGTTCTACAGGTACTAGAATTCCCTGGTGCATCTAGTCTAAATATAGACCTACTCAACCTAAATCTAAATCTTATCTCATTGCCTTAAAATTTAGCTAATACGAGTAGTAACTCTTGAAAGTACTCTTCAATTTAAATTAGAAACAATATATATAATTATGACGTACTTACTTTGCCTCGAATTTCAAAATACTACAATGACTATAGCATTAACCTGTGACTTGAAAAAAATTAAAGTTCAAACTTTTGTAACATTGACCTTCACAAAGAGTACATTGCCTTGGCACAGTATTTAATAATAGGCTAGTTAATGTAAGCCTGACCATTATTATTATTATTATGATCATATTTTTTGCTACCAAAGCTAATAGGATATGCAAATCTCAGAATTAAACTATTAAATAAATCGCTCTAGGTATATCACTAGGCTTATACTGTGATTATTAGATAACTGATAGATGTGCATAATACATTTTAACACACGATCATGTACAGAAATTATCCGAATTCA